CATTTAGCATGAAGCTAGGCATTTGAACTTTTTTGTATTATCACTATTCTACCAAGTTGGAAAATTTTCTATGACCTGTTACTGTGTAACTTGTCTCCTGATTAGAATTTGACAGATACATCATTTCTTATCCATCACAAGCAGTAGCAAAATCCTATAGATTTTATTTTCATTTTCTACCTAAAAAGTATCACTATCTGCTTTTTTTTTTAGTTTATTTGTTATAGCTGGAAATTATTTCTTCCTTTCCATACCCACTGCTGCCCACTTTAGCTAACACTGACATTCTCTCATGTCTGAATCATAACAATGTGTCCCAACTGGTTTTTCATTACCAAACTTACACAGTATTGCCAATCTAATTGTATTTCTAAGAAAATTTCAAAGTGGTTTGTGTTTAATAATAACTACTAATAAGTATATAGTATTTGCTAGGCACAGTGTTAAGCACTTGAATTATTTTCTCATCTTTTACATTCTCTAAGATTTACCAAAAAATTGGGAGGAGGGGTTTAACAGCTTTGTTGAGATATAATTTTTATATATAAGTGTACAATGCAAGGATTTTTAGTATATTCAAAGCATTGTGCAATCAGTTTTAGAATGGTTACATCACTCCAAAAAGAAATGCCATATCCTCTACCATAATAAAATCCCCATCTTACTTATTGATATGTAGCCATTAATTAATTTTCTGTTTTCATAGACTTGTCTATTCTGGACATTTCATATAAATGCACTTATACAATGTGTTCTTTTGATTGCCTTCTTTCTCTTAACATAATATTTTCAAGGTTCATTCATGTTGTAGCATGAATCAGTACTTTATTCCTTTTTATGACCAAGTAGTATTTCTTTGTATGCATCACATCTTATTTATACATTTTAAAATCAATTATTATGAATTATATTATTATGAGTAATACTGCTATGAATATTCATGTATATACAGATTTTTTCATTTCTCATGGTTATAGACCATTGATTAGAATTCAAGGATTAAATGGTAACTCAGTGTTTAAATTTTTTTTTTTAAAGAGAGAGAGAGAGAGAGAGAGAGAGAGAGAGAGAGAGAGAGAAATTTTAATATTTATTTTTTAGTTTTCGGCGGACACAACATCTTTATTTGTATGTGGTGCTGAGGACTGAACCCAGGCCACATGCATGCCAGGCAAGCACGCTACCGCTTGAGCCACATCCCCAGCCCTCAGTGTTTAACTTTTTGAGGAATCACCAAACCATTTTAAAAAATACCTAAACCATTTTGCACTCTCCTCAGCAATGTATGAAGGTCCCAATTTCCCCACATTCTCATTAAACCTGTAACTGTTTTATTACAGCCATTGTACGAGTGTGAATTCTATCTCATTTTGTGTGTGTGTGTGTGTGTTTGGTACTAATGATTGAATTCAGGGACAATACACTGTACCAATGAGCTACACCTCCAGCCCCTCACTGGCATTTTGACTTGCATTTCATTTTAACATTGGGCATCTTTCATATGCTTTTTGGCTGTTTATCTTTTTTGGAAAAATGTCTGTTCAAGATCATTTGTCCATTTTTTAATTGGGTTATTTGTCCTTTTAAGTCATAAGAGTTCTCTATTTATATTCTAGATACAAGTTCTTTATTAGATACATGATTTATGAATCAGCCGCTTGGGTGAATATCTATGGAAGGTTGATTACAGGACCAATTACAGATATTAAAATTTGAAGATACACAAGTCTCCTATACAAAATGGCATAGTACTTATATATAACTCAGCACATCCTCCTGTATTATTCTCCTTTTCTTTCCTTCCCTTTTTTTTTTTTTTTTTGGTATGGTATTGGGCACTCTACCACTGAGCTACATTCACAGCCCTTTTTATTTATTTATTTTGGTTTGGGTACCAGGGATTGAACACGGGCTCTTAACCACTGAGCCACATCCCCAATCCTTTTTTATTTTTTGAGTCATGGTTTTGCTAAGTAGCTTAGGGTTTCATTAAGTTGCTGAGTGCTGAGGGCCATTACCAAGTAGGTATGACGCATCGTAATCCTTGCCAGTGTACCCCGTGTTAAATGGACTTGCCTTGGAAATTTGCTGCGACCTTGCTTGTGTGTTTGAGAAAGGTGACCCTGCTCAATCACCAGGGTGGATCTAGGATTAGGGTGTATTCCTGCAGGAAGTATCTCCGTCCTTGGGTTTAGGGCGTGACAATAGGAGTTTTAGGGAAGTTGAGGTTGAAGATTATTGATGCTGGGATTAGGGTGTTCCTGCTGCTTGTTCTCGTGAGATTAAAATGGGATTTGGAAAAAGCCTCGTGGAGTAGGATTTGGGATCGGACTTATTGGAATTGCCCCTGAACGTGTGTGGAGGCTGGTGTGAGATCGGGAATAAAGAATTGCTGTTTGAACCTACAAAGCTGTGGTGCCTCCTGATTCTGGTGCCCCCCAAGACATCGGCAGCTGAGGCTGGCTTTGAACTTGTTATCTTCTTGCTTCAACCTCTCAAGCCACTGGGATTACAGGCATACACTACAGTACCCAGCACAGTCCTTTTCATTTTTTGTTTTGAGTGAGGCTCTGAGTTTTTGAGGCTGGTCTCAAAACTTGCAATCCTTCTGCCTCAGTTTCCCAAACTGCTGGGATTATAGGCATGTGCCACCATATCTGGAAGATTTACACTCTTCCTTTTTGGACTAATGGAGATTGAACCAGGGTCTAGAGTATGTCAGATAAGTGTTCTCAATTCCCCAGCCCATCCTGAATACTTTAAATCATCTCTAGATTACTTATAATGGTTACACACTCCAAAAATTAAAAGGGATTGGGGACATAGCAGTCCCCAGTACCAGAGAAAAAAGTGGGGCACATAAATCTAAAGTTCATGAGTAGGTTATACCTGTTCTATACCACAATCCCAATCTATTTTCCACATCAAATTTACACAAATCCTGCAATGTACTCTAAAATGTCCCCTCCCTGTACTTTTTGCATTCCAAACTTCTGTTCATGTTGCTCATTCTACCTGGAATGTCCTGTTATGGTTTGGACATGAGATGTCCCCCAAAAGCTCATGTGTGAGACACTGCGAAGTTTAGAGGAGAAATGATCGGGTTATGAAAGCCTTAACCCAATCAGTGAATTAATCCTCTGATGGAATTAACTGAGTGGTAACTAAAGGCAGGTAGGGTGTGACTGAAGGTCACTGGGAGCATGCCATTGGGGTGTACATTTTGTATCTGGAGAGTGGAGTCTCTCTGCTTTCAGCTCATCATGTGAGCCACTTCCCTCTACCACACTCTTCCACTATGATGTTCAGCCTTACTTCAAGCCCTGAGGAATGGAACTGGCTGTGAACTGAGACCTTTGAAACTGAGAGCCCCCAAATAAACTATTTCTCCTCTACAATTGTTCCTGTGGGGGTCTTTTAGTCACAGAAGTGAAAAAGCTTACTAACACACCCTGCCATAAATTTTATAACTTTTAATTAACAATATCTTGAGTACCATTTAGCAAAGTGATCTCTCTTTTCAGTCTATTTGCTCAGTGTATTCTCTCATGTTTCTTATTCCATGTTACACTTTGCAATAAAGGTATCTCTGTATACATATTATTCTTCTTCCTAGGTCAAGAACAAGGACATGGGCTGGGGATGTGGCTCAAGCGGTAACGCGCTCGCCTGGCATGTGCAGGGCGCTGGGTTCAATCCTCAGCACCACATAAAAATAAAGATGTTGTATCCACCGAAAACTAAAATATTAAAAAAAAAGAATAAGGACAATGTTTCATTCACCTTACTATTTTCCCCAAACAATAATACTGCAACATTCACAAAGTAGGTACTAAATGTTTTGAATGAATAAATGAATTCTAAAATTACTGAGTGGGCAGTAAGAGTATATATATATATATATATATATATATATGTGTGTGTGTGTGTGTGTGTGTGTGTGTGTGTGTGAAGGTCAAGGCAAGATTTTAGAAATGAATACCTAGGGAATTTCCTAATCCTGAGAGCATGGTAAAAAAGAAGGAAAACAACAGACAAGTGTATGGTAAAGTGGTAGGACCAAACAGATTGATGCTAATCACTCTTCGGCAAGAGAGAAACTTCTAATACTGAAGTGTTGTGTGCAGATGAGTAATACCTGCCGGTAAACAGGAAATCAGAAAACACCCAGGCACCGTAGCACATGCCTGCAGTCCCAGTGGCGAGGGAGGATGAAGCAGGAGGATTGTGAGTTCAAAGCCAGCCGCCTCAGCAATGGCAAGGTGCTAAGCAAAGCAGTGAGACCCTGTCTCTAAAGAAAATACAAAATAGGGCTGGGGATATGACTCAGTGGTTGACTGCCCTTTAGTTCAACCCCTGGCCTATGCCCCATCGCAAAAAAAAAAAAAAAAAAGAAAACAAGTGATTTGCGAAGCCCCAAGGTAGCCAGGTATGGTGGTAAGTACCCATAGACCCAGATACATGGGAGGCTGAGGTAAGAGGATCAGTTAAGCCTCGGAGTTCAGAGTCAGCCTGGACAACATAGAGAGACTCCATGTCACTTAAAAAAAAAAAAAAAAGCCCCCAAATGAGTTAACTGTGGTATAAAAAGAGATAACAACTCCAATATATTTAGGTAAAGATTGATACGCCCAAGATATCTAGACTACAATAGGAGGGCCACTCTAGTGTCAGAGTTCCTGAAAAGACAATAGGAAAATGAAACATTTCCCTAGATGAAAACAAACAAACAAACAAAAATAAGAAATAGAACAGTATACCAATCCTTAAGCTTTCCTCATGTTCCCAATAACTTCCCTGACTTTCCCATTCTTTTTTTTATATATTTTTTTTATTTTTTAAAGAGAGAGAGAAAGAGAATTTTTTAATATTTATTTTTTAGTTTTCGGCAGACACAACATCTTTGTATGTGGTGCTGAGGATCGAACCCGGGCCGCACGCATGCCAGGTGAGCACGCTACCGCTTGAGCCACATCCCAAGCCCAACTTTCCCATTCTTACATGACTTTCAAGTCATTGACATCTCCATTTTCTAGCCCAAACTGTTAGATAAGTAGTAGAGCTCTTATTCAGTCTACAATCTGTACCTAGGCAGTGAATAGGGCTTAGAATACAGTATGTTTTAAAGTTGGCAATAATTTGGCATCATCAAGGTAATTTCATTACAACTTCCCTACTTTCCGGATGTCCAGTTAAGATTTGGCTCAGCTATTTAAGCCACACCATCCACTTTCTCTTCTAATTGTCTCTATCTAGCGGGCAGGAGCTTCCAAGAAACATGATGTAGTAGGCACTGCAGTATACTGGCTGCTTGTTGGGGTTGGAATAGACCTGTTCAGGTTTGAGGGATGTGAAAGGGTTAGCACCATATGCAATGATGTGTATATCAAGGTTCACCAAAATCTGCAAAGAGGCTGTCAATTCCTGATGGCTGTGGGAAAGAGATAAGAAAAATTACTCTTACTGATTATGAGAGAGAATAGAAACTGCTTAAGAATATAATATTTCTCTACTCATCAATCCCAAGAATTATCTAAGACTAGACTAGACCATGACTATCTTTTCCTCCCAAACATCCCACTAAATCACTGATTAGCACAGGACTTTGTTCCAAGGGGATGAATAAGCCACAAGGCAGAAGGAAGAATATCTTCATGAGAAGACATGCATCTTCATAAGAAGAGAGATGAGCAAGTGGGATCAAAATAAGTTAATAAGTACAGAGAGGCAGGAGTGTGTCAGGAAAATATCATAAATAAGTCAAAACCTGTAAACAGTAATCAATGTAGGGATCTTATAGTCACGAAGTAGCAGCAGGGTAGGCAGCCAAGCTTCCATCAAGTTCAGGGATGCATGGAAACCTATGGAACAAAAGTAGAAAAGGGAATACTGAGGAGAAAAACTGAAGTAGACCTTATGAGCAAGATACTTCTTCGACTGCATTTACCCCAATCCTCACATTGCTCACCCCAATATTAATCATCATTCATCCCCACTAGGTTCTTCAATGAAACATTCTGAACCCAGATGTAGTTAGCACATATAGCAAATTAATTAAGGTCATCATCATAGTGTGTTTAATAAGACCAAATGAATAGGGTTCTAAAGATAGAAGATACAAGAATCAGGGTGGAAAATCTCAGGGGAGTCACTCAGTATTTCTCTGAACTAATGGTGCTTACCTGGATGGAATGCCACCACCATATCTGGATAGGCTATCTTCCCAGTCTCTATCTGCTCTTCCCAGAAGTCATGATAGAGGCTCCTGTGGCCACTAAGCTGAATTGTGCCAGGTTCCAGAGGTGAAGCTGAAGTGCTGTGTAAAAAGTCAGCAGACACATCTACACCCACCATGATCACATGGAGGCCAAGGTGTCCAGAAAACATATAGCCAAGCTCATCATAGTCCCCAGAACGAGTGAGAAATGTCTCCACGTGGGATGCACCAATCACATGCACTGCACTTCCTCCAGTCTTCCAAACATCTATCCCTAGGACCCTAAACCCTAGGCCCAGAGTCAAAGGCCGTGACAGAACATCTGTCAGGAGTCGCCTCAAAGAGCCCTTCAAGTCATCTGGGTCTGGCCTCGGCCTTCCTACACTGGCCCATAAGGAGGTCATAGCATGACTGCCTAGTATAGCATTCAGTGTAGCATCTATCTGCAACCCCCTCATAGAAAACCAGGTATTCCAGTCCTGTACAACTTCAGCCGGCCATGGCCAAGGTCCTGAGGGTAGGACAAAATCACCTGTAGAGAAGAAGGAATAAGAAGTAACCCAATCCTTCCCTGGCTTCAAAATTCTTTCCTCACTATAACCAATAATCATTCCATGTTCATTTTGCAAACCTGTGACCACAGGTGTCCCATCCCTTGCCCCAGTTCCTCATTTCCTCCTCATAACAACATGCTTTCCATATTTTTCTCTGAATGTAAACAACTAAGATAATTTTGGCAGACTTCCCCAATACTACCACTCCACCTGTGACCAGAAGCCATTCCATGAGACGATCCACAGCCACAAGACGAAGCTCTTGACAAACCTTCCTGTGTACTGGCCAATCTGACCTCTGGCACTCTGGGCCACAGTAATAGACATTTCTGCACCTAAAGGAATAAGCCACAGAAATAAATGTTCCTGTACCATAAAGTTAATTGGATATGTCCAGGGATGGAAACTGATATTCTTGCACCTAGGTTGAAAGATTAATGAATGGGTAAGGAGGATGAAGAAAAGAATAACAGCTGTGCTCCAAATGTGGGGAATAAAGAGGAGGCAGAAGGAACAGGGAATGCAATTGTTCTCTCAGACCAGGGTGATACCTCTGTCTTTATCTGGAACCAACTTACTTTTTACATCACTTTTAAGGAAAAACAAAAGCACAAAAACAAACCAACAATGTGCAGCTGCTCTCTAATCATGTGTATGGCACAACCCTAAGCACCCCAGAACAGATGTGCTCTTACTCCTTGAGTACTCAAGAAGAGGGAGTAGAGAAGAAGGTATTTGTCTCTTATCTCATCTTCCCACAACATCAAAAATAATAAGCAGGATTATGACCATGTTCTAATCTCTCTGTATTGTGGTTCACATAAAATGATGAATGAGCCTTAAGTGAATCTGAACACTCTTAGACCTTTCCTTTTATAATGAGGATTTAGTATAGGATCATTTCTGAATGTCTCCCCAGTTAGTACCCCACAAGTCACCTCTTACAGTGCCGAAGAACTTTGGAGTCTGAAAGGTCACTAGGGAGTGCTCTACAGTGAGCACAGAATCGGAATGTGTCCTCCATCCTCTGGAACATTTCTTGAGGACATTGAAATCCAAAGCCTGATACAGGGATACCCCCATCTATCACCAACCTGTAGAGACAGCATGGAAGAAGAACGGCAATAGGGAAAAGAGTGTCTCCAAAATCTCTTATGTCCCCCATCGTGCCTTCTGTACATACTCCTATGTCTCCTAGTCCTATCATTTCTTATTTAAACAAATTATATTTTTTCTGTAGTAATAAAATTGGTGAAAGTCAGGATGAGAAAATCCCTCATTACAAATATCCCATACTGACCAAATTATACTCTACCTTTTGAAATCACTTCTCCTAAAGACAATATATCCCTCTTCCACATTTTGTCACTCACTTGTATTCTTCATAACTTTTCATGTTCAGCTTTTGAAGGATCAGCTGGGACAGACCAGGAACATTACTGTCCAAGGAGAAGAAGCCATGTGCGTCAATGCTAGGGCCAGGTTTTAAGAGAGTCAGAGGCAGAGGAGTCACAACTGTGGGAGGGATCACAACCACGGGAGCCACTGTTGGGGATTTCTTGTGCCTCCGTCGCCGCAAGCGTGGAGCCATGACCTGTCCAATGATACCTGGGAACTATAAGCAAAACAGATATGGAATGGAATTTTGCAAGCTGGACACATGATATGTTTTCAAATGTTTGACCTTTTACTTCCTGTTCTAGTCAGGTTATTAGTAAGATTTATTTAGTAATTATGGATTGTTGATCATCACAGACAGTTGTGAAAAATAAACTAAATGTATATGAATATAAATTTATACATGTGCTATATATGAAATTCCATATATAAATATACATATGTATTTTCACATATATATGTAAGTGCACAGAAAAAGTTATGTCAGGGCTTTTAGAAAACTGATGACATTATAATTAAGTCTGAATAGGGGAAGAAGGCAGTGGAATATGAAAAGTATTGATCAATGAGACTTTAGTCTTATCTGTTATATTTAACTTTTCTATAAAGAGAATATATTCATATATTAATATACTTTTTTTTTCATACTAGAGATTGAACCCAAGGGGCTCTTAACCACTGAACCACACCTCCAGGCCTTTTTCTTTTTAATTTTGAGTCAGGGTCTTGCTAAGTTGCTTAGGGCCTTGTTAAGTTGCTGAGGCTGGCCTTGAACTTGTGATCTTCTTATCTCAGACTCGCATATAGTCTGTGGGATTACAGATGTGTGACACAACATCCAGCAGCATATTGTATTTTTAAAATCAACTTAAAAGAGAAGTGGAAAGATGAAATATCATCACATTGATAAGCAATAAACCAATAGAAATAGAAATTAAATGCAATACAAAACAAGCAACATAATGCAAAGAGTTACATATTCTAAGCAAGTCAGGCAAATTATGAAGAAAATTTCCTAAAGAGGTAAATTTTGAAGTAAAAATAAGGCCATTCCCACTTACTACTGAGCTGAGACTCTAAAGTCCAATTCTCCTGCCTTGTTTTCTCCCAAGCTTTCCACAAGGGTTGAGTAGACACAAAGGACCACATTGGTAAAAATTAAAACATCCACTCATTCAATATATATTTATTGATGGACAGATAAAATCACTTTCAATACTACATGGAAACAAGTATGAAGAAATATATCATCAAAATGTCTTGCAGGGGGATTAAATATAGACTATAATATAAAGTACTATATAAATCCTCTAAGCAAAGTGCAACTAAAGCACTAATGGGCAATGAGACAGAGAGAGTCTCTCTAGTGGGTGAGCTATAGAAAGACTTCATGAAGCAAATGTTGATGAAATTAGCGAGTCATAATAGTAAATATATGTTTATTTTTAGAGGAACTGCTATAACCTTTCCCATGAATGCCCTCACCATGGAAAATTTCACATTTCTACCAACAGTGCACAAGGGTTCCAGTTACTCTATATCCTCATCAACATTTGCTATTTTCTGTTTTGTTCTTAATTGTTTTGGTGGTACTGGGGATTGAACCCAGGGCCTTGTGATGTGTTAGGCAAGTACTCTTACCAATAAGCTACATCCATATCTCCTTTTGAATTTTATTTTGAGATAGGATCTTGCTAAATTCCCCTGGCTGGCCTTGAACTTTCAGTCCTCTTGCCTCATCCTCCAGAGTAGCTGGTATTACAGGCATGTGTGCACCTAGCTAGCTAGGGCACTGTGGAAAAGGGTATGACAGTTCCTCTAAAAGTAGACATATAGTTATTATTATGACTCAAAAATTTCGTTTTTAGGTATATACACCAAATAATTAAAAATGAGTGCCCAAAGGCTTATACGACTTATAGTTCATAGCAGCACCATTCATAATAGCTAGAAGATAGAAACAAGTAACAAATCTACCAATAGATAAAATGGGTAAACATACTGAGATCACACACATACAGAGAGAGAAACAGACAAAAGAGAGATATGAGTAAATATCATTCAGTCATAAAAAAGAAATATTGACACATGCTACAATGTAGATGAACCTCAAAAACATGCTAAGTGAAAGAAGCCAGACACAGTTACATGTTATATAATGCCATTTATATGAAATACCAAGAATAGAGGCAGAAAGAAGATTGAGGGTTGCCAAGGAAGTGAGAAGTAACTGCTTAATGCTTATGGGGCTTTCTTTTGGAGCAATGAAAATATTTTGGAACTACACAGAGGTAGTAGTTGCACAACACTGAAAAGTACTAAATGGCATGCAGTTGCTAACTTAAAATTATTTTTATGTTATATGAATTTCACTTTAAAACTAAAAAGTAAGGGAGGGCAGGAGGGAGGAAGAAAGAAAGGAGGGAATCTATAGACACCAGAGAGGCTAAAAAGTTATTAATATCCAGATTAACTGCCTACAGGGACGGGGAAATGATACAGGATAAAAACACTGGCAGCAGTTGGTTTCACTATGAACAAGGTAACAAAGTTCAAATCATGGATCATATTTTGTTACAAAATGGCCTGACATTTGATCCTTCTAAACAGATGTGTTAGGATAAAAACCCAAGAATCATAATTTAACTGAGGTAGATGTAGATGGTAAAAACAAATAAAATTTCTCATAATTATTCAGTTCATACTTGTGTTTTTATACAGTTCTTACAAACTCCTGGTCTAAAGAATAAATTTATACTTCCTTTGATACTTTCTTTCCTCTCACCCTTATGTTTCCATCAACCCTTTCAATGTCTCCCTTCAATCCATGGTGAATGGATTGAGAACAGAGATAGCTAAGCTCATGTGCATACCATATTCTGTACATTACTGCCAATGAAGAAAATACTGCATCTAATGATAGTTGATTATATTAAGGTTTAAGGGTCATGCCCTTTGCCTAAAGGGAAGATAGAATTGCCTGTCATACCTTAAAACCCTGTTCCCAATAACTGACCTGTCCTCCATTTTAAAATTTTTATTATTTTTTTGTGCCTATGGTAATAGAGATTGAACCCAGGGTCTCACACGAGCTAGGCAAGCCTTCTACCACTAAGCTATCCTCTGCCCATCTACCCTCCACTTTTAATCACCCCACATTCTCAGTGTATTTCCAGAATAACTGCCACTCTAAAAAAAATAAAATAAAATAAAAACATTTATCTACTCTATTTACCATACTTCAAGTCAATAGAACACCTTAAAAGTTGAAAGAGTGGTCAGGTGTGGTGGTACACACCTATAATCCCAGCTACTTGGGAGGCTGATGCAGAAGGATCAAAAGCCTCAGGAACTTAGCCAGACACAGCCTCAAAATAAAAAGTGCTGGGGATGTGGCTCAGTGGTACAGTACCCCTGAGCTCAATTTGCACCATCACTAAAAAAATTTTTTTAAAAAGTTTAAAAATTACACTTTCCCCCCCTTACTGTTATAGAAGGAAAGTATCTTTGAGACAATTTAAAGGTCTTGAATTCCAGGATTTATCTCCATCTTCCCCATGCTAAACTATAAGCCTTTTTGCTGCAAGCCAATTAAGGTTCAAAAGGTATTGCTTCAGCTCCATTTCCAAGGATGTCTTTCTCCAATGGAAGACTAACTCTTTGAAGATTAACTTTTGGTAAAACGGGGTTAATAGAACCAGCTAGAAGTTAAAAGGAGCATACAGCTTGGTGAAAAGAATTGGCAATGATGAAATCCTTAATGTCACAGGCTTGCTATGCCTAGTGTATATTGATGATCTATGGGACAAACGTGATAACATTCTGACAGGAAGGTAATATGGCAGGAATAAGAAGCAAGTCTTTGCATTTGCATCTCTATAAGTTTCATTAGGGTTATGTCTGAGCTGGTGTATCCCAGGTCCAAATATACCTTCCCTGGCTCTAACTTTCCTGCCAAGAGCCCCAGATTCCTCCAAGTTCAAGGAGTAGAAACAGAAGCAAAGGGGGGAAAAAAAAAACCAGGAGTAGAAACAGAAGCAAAGGGGGAAAAAAAAAACAGAAGTGTGACGAGAGCGAAACTGCAAAGAATTGTGGTAAGCTCTCAGAACTTTCCAGAGTTCAATCTATCCTACCTAGAAAGGGAATCACCTTAGATTTTTTTCCTAGTAATCCCTAGTGACTTAGGCTCCAACTTATTCCCAGTATTTTAAAGAGAAAACACCAACACCAAGTTCTATGAAGGAGATACGAAATTGACTGCCTAGAAAAAGTCATACCCTTCATCTCCAAATTACAAGATAAAATATTAACCTATTCCTAGACAAGAGGACTCCCATTTTTCTCCCTTACCAATAAAAGCCCCAATTTTCACCTAAATCACCATCATCTAAATGCAGACCACTAGGACCCATCTAAATTTCTCTGATTTATTAGCAAACACAAAATATCTCTGGTGAGGTGAGGAGGAGTAAAGCTGGTCACTGGGGATCCTCAAAGGAGTAGGGAAAGACAAAAGGAAAAAAAAGAAAGAAATTAAGAACATTGCCCTTATGATTCAGCTGCTTAATCAGTGATTAACACTTCCTGGGGTGATAAATACTTTACTTAATTATAAACTAAGGAAGAAGACAGGTTGATGGGAAAGTAACTTACCCTGCTAAGCCCTAGGTTTCCTTCCTTCTCTCTTTCCTCCAAGTGAAGTGAGTGCTTGATCTTCTCAGATCCAGGTTGTGGCTTACTTGCAGCTGTTCCTTCATATCACTTTCCTCTACAAACTGCTGAAATACTGGGTCTCAGTGATTAAGTGTGTCCTGCCAGTCAGCCAGCCAACCAAAACTGAATTCTCCCTAACGAGGCAAGTAAGAATCTGGACCCCTGCCCAAGGGATTCTCTTTCTGACCCTGACTTTGCCAAGAAGGCTCAAAACTGTCAACACTCCCAAACTCACCAAAAGCCGGGCAGACTGAGGGAAGATGAAACCTACTGCTTTTTGGACTTCCTTCAAGGTAATATTTTTGCTCAGTTTTTAGCACCAGAGGAATAAAAAAGAAAACAAATCCTTGGGATTAGTTTAGAAGTCAATAGTTGGTTAGAAAGGGCAGGCACTATGACGGAGGGTACAGGAATCTCTGGAGTTTGTGGATATCAATCTAGACCCAGCATGAGTTCCCCCAAGTCCAATGTCCTTTTCTGGCATAACAAGCACTGCTTAAATAGAACTCATCTATGTCCAATCCAGGTTTAAATACAAGTATAATTACCCAAGAAAAGAAAAAAGAAATGGTCATTCAATGGCACAAAAGACAACCAACTGTAGGGGAAATATCCAGAATTAATAATTCACTTTTCTTAAAAGGAGAGTAAGCTATTCTCTAAGTGAGAGTGTCATCAAGGACATTCCATTCCAATGCACACTTATTCCATCAAAAAAGGAATAAGTCTTTTTGCAATATTAATATAATTAAGAATAACACTTTAGTTAATGAATGAAAATGCCTATTATTCCTAGAAACAGAAAACAGAAAAGAATCAATGTAACCAATTATCTTCTCATTTCTTCTTGTAATGGATGCTGATACAGGATTTCAATTCCACATTCCTAGCTCCTTTGTATTTAGTTACTGAGCTGCAGAACAGGAAACTTTGGGGGTAGTCATCCTATATGACTCCAAAATCTGACCTTCTGACTTACCTGCCTCCATGAACATCATCAAACTGGGGAACAGGACCTCTTGCAACAAGGTCTTAGAATGTTGCCAATCAATCCACATAGTTTTGATGCAGAAAATGGATTCTAAAGGAATCCCAAACTGTAGAACGCACAAATGATAAGCAGGGAAGGTGGAAGAAAAGTGTTAAGGAGTTAATGAAACATTATGTAGCATATCTGTGAACAAAGGAGAATCAGTTATAGTAGGCAAAAATCCTCAATAAATTAGGGGTGATTCATGTTCAACAAAGGTTTCAAGCCAACTTCAAACTTAACTGGCTTCAAAATTTAACTGTGAAACTTAAAGGGGTTTGAGTTATATTATTAATGGCTGAAATGTAGAAGAAAAGAGAAGTCAGAGACTTTGCTAATTCAAAGTGTCATTTTTTTTTTTTTGGGGTGGGGGGGTACCAGGGTTTAAACTCAGGGGCACTCAACCACTGAAACACATCCCCAGGCCTACTTTGTAAAACTTATTTAGAGACAGGGTCTCACTGAATTGCTCAGTGTCTCGCTTTTGCTGAGACTGGCTTTCAACTCGTGATACTCCTGTTTCGGCCTCCTAGCTGCTAGGATTACAGGCGTGGGCCACCAAGCCCAGCTCAAAGTATCATCTTTGACTATGAAGGAGAATAACATGTGAAATTTTTGATGTTGAATATTTATATTTTATCATCACTACTACTTGCACTGGTAGACATTCAAAATAATTTTTTGGGGGGGTACTGGGGATTGAAACTAGGAGGGCTTTACCACTAAACCCACCTCCATACCTTTTTTTTTTTGAGACAGGAGTCTCACTAAGTTGTTGAGGCTGTCTTTGAACTCTTGCCTCAGTCTCCCAAGTCACTGGGATTATAGGTGTGTGCCATGCATCTGACCAAAGTTATAATTTAGGAAGATGTAAAATTTTATAATTTTCTTTTATCATGAGTTAAAAAATATATTAATAAATACTTCACAAATAGTTTTCTGTGAAACCTATTATGAAGAAAGATTACAAAGAGGTTCCCATTCAGTAGTAGGAAGTGGTCTGTGAGGCTGGTTAATGTTCTCCCACTCTTCATATATACTGTGAATTGGTCCTTTCTTCTACTTTCCTCTCCCTATTTTTTACTATCAATCCATAATTTCTCCAATTTGTTAATGATGTTTATGTTTACCCATGTTTCCCACAAACACTATATTTAACTTTAGTGATAAACCTAAGGACTAAGGAAGTTTCTGGTACCTGGTACACTAATTAAATTCCAACTTCAGGGATGCATAACTTTCATAAAATGGTAATATTAAGAAAGCTCTGTAAGGTATGCTGTCCATAATAAATTGGTTTGTAAGCTAATGTTACAGCAAATAAAAATAACAAATCATTTGAGAAGTTCTGTTTGTTATCTTAGGGAAATTAATCTTTATGTGAATGCTCTATAACGTATATCACTGTAATGACTATTCAGAACTATAATTAAATTATGATTAAGTATAAAATATAAGCAATATATTTACTTCCCTCAATTTGCAAAATCCTGTACTTGATTATGGAAAAGGAGGAGTATGATGACAAGAAAATCCAATATCATTAACATTTCTTTTACTTATTGCTAAAACATCCAATAATTTCTCAATATCACTATAACAGAATTCTACACAAGAACATTTTCTTTCAATTAAAAATTAATGAATCAAAATAGTGATTTTATATATTATATTTATGAGGCCTATAGAAGGCACCGGAAGTCCTGTAGTGCTCAATCACTGATGTTCACGAAAAACAAGTATACTAAAACTTTAAGGAAAACGAGGTGAAATTTATGAAGATAAGAATTTAATTCACCAAATCACCATAAAATATCTGGGATATAATCTCCTCTGAAGGATACACCGGCTTCATTAACAGAATTTTTTTTGATTTGCAGAAAAAGGTCAAATCAGACTGCATCTTCCAAATAAAACCCAACACGGAGATAGGAACAGCGGCCCATGCATGGAATTTATTGTGTGCTACTGTTTATAAAATACTCGGATAGTCCTGCACATGCATAATATTTCCAACTTAGACAAGAGACCATACAGGGTGCACTTTCTGGCAAACAAAACAATAGATGGTTCCGCTGCTTGGAGCTCTGAGTTGTATTCCAGGGCATGAGGGAAGCAGGCCACAAAGTAAAGGGAAATACCAAACTACAGTGGCAATCAATACATGTCAATAATTGTGTAAAATTAGCACATGGTTCCATTTAGTTTAACCAAGCAGTTCTGTAACTATCAAAGGAAAAAATTCAACATGCAGTCTTGACTTATGCTTCCACTAACATCTGAAGGACTGAACAGAACCACTGCTTCTAGGCTGCATTGCTTAATCAAAAAACATTTCCAGAACATTTTAAAATTTCCTTTGCATTAAAACATAAAAATGATAGAAAGCCAGCAGCAAATCACCCTGGTGGCTATTTAAGCAACTGGAATACTCACAATAAACTAAAATTTCTCATAACATCTAAATAACCTATACTACATGTTGTACCTGTACATCATAGGTCTATATATTAAATATTTGCAAAAGGAAAACATGCATACACAAAATACGTCAAGTTTTACAGACATGGTTTGAATTAAAATATACTTTTGACAATGTACAAACTTCTTTTAAAGTACCTTAAATGAGTAATTCTGTAATTCTTCATAATTTTGAAATTTAGGTTTTCTTCTTAAATCTCTGGGGTGTAAAGCTCAAAAGATCTGGGCAAAAAAGATTCTAAATTAGTTTTAGATTTTAGTTCAAGTAAGTCTTTCTAGAAATAGTTTATGCATTCATAATTGAAAAATATTGACTATGTTACAGAATTAGCCACATTTAAGAACAACACACCTGAGGTCAGCATTTTTGTATAAACGCCAACTGGGTTTCTTAGCAATTTGCCTACAATTCAAAATACAGCTAGTAACCTCAGAAATATATTTTAAGACCATGCTAATTCATTCTTTAAAGACATTTCATTGGAAGAAAAAAAAAAAGGCTACATTAACTCTTAGGATTGCATTTGAAGTCATGGTTGAAAAAAATCTAATTCTACGGAGGGGAAAAAAAAATCTCATTGTAAACTTAAATGTGTGAACCACAAGCATAAATGGAGGTGTAGATGCCCTCCACTGGAAATTGCCCCAAGCCCCATGTTCACTGCTCTCCACCTTGGCAGCGATGACCCAATCTTATCAGACAGCAAGCACAACACGTCCCAGGGCCCTCAAGACTCCATCCAGGAAGGGGGCTGGGGTCTCAAAAAGCACAATGGTTTCTTCAGAGGGACTGTGAGTTTTATAGTCCACTTGGCCACCCTTCCAGCTCCTCGGGTGATCTGTCCATTTGGGGCCCGAGATGTGAGAGTCCCTGGGAAGCCGCTGGTCACTGGGCACTATGGTTGCCAGTCCCGTGGTTCTCAGTGGCATGTGCGGTGTTCAGAGAATTAAAACCATCTTGCTGTACAGCATCTTTCCGGGGTGGCATTCTCTCATTGATCCTATCCAAACCCTTTGCCTCTTCAAAACTGCAGATTCTATGTGGTGGAGAGAATCCTCGTATTGCTTAACAAAATGCAAATTTGATAAGTCAGTAATTGTAAAACAATTCTGAGATTTCAAAAACATTGTTAATGATTTTTAAGAAGAAAGAAATTAGCTGTAAGTAGCAGTACTTAAATCTTACTTTAACTGAATCCTATCCCCATTCCAGTCTTCCCCTTAAAATATGAATGTTTGTTTAAACCTAAATATAAACATGATAGTTTTACAGATGACAAGTGTTAGCATAGCCTTGAAGAAAGAAAAAAAAAAAAAACAACACAAAAATGATCTTCCCTGTCCACAAAAATTAGTTTCCAGGCAATGGTCTCAGGGTATCAGTCTGACTTTTACTAAACCTATCTCAGACTATAAGATCACAAGTGACTATCACAGTTAAATACCAACAAGAGCAGGGGCAAGTGAGGAAGCTAAACAAGGTTAATCCTCAACACACAAATCTGTACCAAGAGTTTGGGAGGAAAAAGAGGTAAAGTTAAGTTAAAATTTAGTAGATCAGCACTAGTTTGGAGGTCATCACTCTATTACCACTGATATGAAATAAAAAAGGTGAGAAATGCCTCCAGAAGTTAGATCTGTGTTTGGCTGATAGCAAAAAGTACTTAGATTTTCATATTTTAGCATATGTCTTCCTTAATTCACTAACTAATTACTACAAATTCTTTGGAAATCCAAAATAAATAACAATTCTTCACCAATTTTTCTGGTTTCTTACTCAATTTATATGGAATGGTGCACCCTCCATTATTAAAAATGTTCACAGAAAAAATTTTCATATTACTACAAATGCAAATTTGATAAGTCAATTATAATTTGGCTGCTCTATACGTGTGACCAATCCCTATGACTCAGTCTATGCCCATGAACCAAACAAATAGCTGGGGCAAGAAAACATTTAGTAATGTATAATAATAAGCCAATATATGATATACATGAATATAATTTCATCAGTAAACTATAGCTAAAAAAAATCAGATTACACAGTAATAGTTCCTATAAACTCATTTCTTTATCCAGATGGGGTTTCACTTAGGGAAAAAAATCTGAGTAGTACAGAATCATACAAAATATGAAGCAAATCTCTACTTGCAGGGTCAGTTTAGTAATTTCCATTAAAATAGGCAATTTTAAATGCTGTAATACATAGCATAACATGCTGTAATCTAAAGAAATCAGGAAGATTAAATTCTGGATGCACATTATACTATTAAAGGGAAAAAAAAACAAATTGTGACTATGGATATCAGCCCTTGTGTTCTTGTTTTTGTTTTTTTTAAAAGAAGAAGAATGTGACTATTACACTTGATGAGTCAGTGAGTATGATTCATCTTGGGCTGTGTAAGCTAGGAGTAAGACACACCCACAGGACATTCTCTGATGCCCACCCACACACCACAGATCTCTGCCCAGCGTAAGGACTCTGATCGTACCTTTTTCAGCCTCAATAGCCTCAACTGTGGCTGTACAGAAGTGAGCAGAGGCATGCAAAATGAATGAGAGAGATGAGAAGGGTCATATTGTACAGCAGAAAAGGCAATGATCACTTAAAATATCACAGTACCCCATACTACATCATCATTTACAATTTAACATAAATAGTACCCATTTTAGAGAGCCCCATCCAATCCCCCAATTCCTGACACAGCACAGTTTACACACAGCACTGACATCACTCAGAGCACAGAACATGTAGACCTATTGTAAACACAGACACCTCAGCACTCATGCAGATGCACTTTAGTTTTAATTACCCATGGCAAATTTAGTATTTTGATAGCATTAGAATTTTCCATTATGTTTGTTATATCAAATTCAATACAATCACAGGAAAATTCTGTAGGGTAAAATTATGATGACAGAATTGTAGCAGAAAGCAAACAAGAAAGTCTTTTCTTTCATTCCTAATGGAAACAATACTCAACACCAGTTGGTTCCCTAAGATACAAACTAGAAGGGGTCAGCAATGGTGTTCCTATTATTTCTAAATAAAGCATAAGCAGAAAAAGCTGGTGTGGTTACAATGAAATTTAAGGGCCATAACCTTGATGAATTAGCATAAATAAAATCATTCTGTAGCTTTATTCTATACAGAGACATAAAAATTATCCTACTTATCTCCTGAGAACTTCCCTTTCTATCAAATTTTTTTTGAGTCAGTCTGTCTTGCCAAGGCTAGCCTCAAATCCTGAGACTCAAGCAATCTTCCTACCTGAGCTTTCATGCCACCATGCCCAGTTATTATTCTAATACTGATGATCCAATTAGTTAAATATCTATAACCTTAAAAACCCATTTATATTCAGTTTATCATGAACTTGAATTTGTCTTAAGAACTACATTCTTAATTGAAGAAAGAAAGACTAATGAACATCTTTTCAAATCCATCTGCCTGCCAATTATAGAGGCATCAAGGGATGGAACAGAGGTTTTTCAGGCAATAAATTCTAATTATTTCATTATAGGGACATAGGTCATATTATAAATGAAAAATATATTCTTAGTATTAATCAGTATAACTCATTTTAAAAACTTCAACATATTTAGTTGTACATTTTGTAGTCAAAAGTTCTCTATTAGCTCATTCATTGCTGGTTTTAAACTGTAAAATGAGCTTACAAAGAGGTGGGACCAGGATCTAAGATTGCAGAGAATAATACTGCCTTACAATATTGTTCATTGTTTAGAATATTTGTAACAATAATGTCCCATCCTTTCTACTTTGCTTCTTGAAAATAAGGCCAATTAGAATATTTATTCTTGAAATGTCATTTTAGGAGTAGATGTGATTTAGAAATGATATATTTTATCCAAAGAAGTTTTTAATATGGAGAGGACAGAGATGAACTAAGGAAATTAACATAGACTAAGTTAGAAAATATTGGTGATCTTAACCAGATGATAAGTAAATTGGGGATCCAAAAGAAGTATGATGAATACTGAATAAAGGAAGAKTTAATTTTCCTTGACTGTTAAATTATAGTGTAAATCAGTCACTCTTAGTTTATGACCACTATTCAAATCCCTGTTGAAAAATAAAACTAGCCTTGTACCACTGGAAATTACTCTTATAATTCTAAAACTTCTACTCTTCAAATGTGAACAATTAACTTTATAATTTAAAAACTGGGGAGAAAATAAAATGACTATCAGAATGTTTTTAAAGAATCAGTGGTAACAAAAGTGGGCACCGTGCTGGTGTATACCCCAGTGACTCAGGAGGCTGAGGCAGGAGAGTCAGAAGTTCAAGGCTAGCCTCTGAAACTTGATAAGAAACTGTCTCAAGTTAAAAAATAAAAAAAGGATTGGAGATATAGCTCAGTTGTGGTGCACCCCTGAGTTCAGTCCTCAGTATTGCAAAAAATAAAAACATAAAGTCACTTTATGTGAAAAACTGTAAAACTTATATATATGGTAATAAATTAAGAATAAAAATGATCTCAGTATGAGAACTGATGTCTACCTAATTATAAAAAGTTATTCAAAAGTCTGTTCATAATTTTTTTCAAATTATGAAATGTCATAATGTACTTCTAAAATCAATTCCATGGATATCAAAACTACACTTTATGTCAAGTTTGAACGCTTAGAATTAAAGATGAGCATTTGAAGCCACAATATTAAGTTGGAAAGAAAGAGATGTGATAAGGGCAAAATTCTACTGAAAGGAATATTCTTATTTCTCCCCTCTATGTTTTCACTTACTTAGGGCACCTTGACATAGCCCTAGTAAATATAGTGCTATCTTAAACTGTATTCCTGAATACATCATAGGATAAGGCTATGAGGAATTTGACATTATAAAATAAAGATGATGGTATATTTTCCCAAACAGGTCCTGGTGAAGGCAGCATTATGGGGCTAGCTTCAAATAAAACTTCCATTAGAAAAATGTATGTAAAATATGAACATAAAATCCAGCCAATAGAAATGTGTTGTTTGTAAAAACACTCAAGAAATAACATGTAAATTAACTTTAAAGTTATTGAAAAGACAATTTTTATTTCCTGACAATAGAACTGAGGTCTCAGAATTAAGTTTTCTTTTTTCAATAACTCTCAGTTGTACACATTAACATCAGGGAACATATCTACTGAAATTAAAAATGTTAGATAATTTTTGGAAAAATCTCACAGCTACTGTATGAGTTTTATTATCTGCTTAAAAAAATGGGTTTATCTTATGCTAGGGAAATGCTCAAACCATACTACCAAAAGCCATCACTAGCATAACTAGGGAGCTATCTGCTTTCCCAAATTAGACCCCTGAAACTCAGCTCCTTCCAGTAACTCACTCTATGCTGGGAATAGACAGTCCCTTCAGTAAAGCTGCTGTCTTTCAAACCTTCCCTGCAGTTGAGGGTGGTTTCCAAGTTGGAGGAATGAGCTTCAGGCTACATACAATTAAAACTAAATAGAAGAACTGAGTTATCAACAAACCATATAATTACCAGATACTGACTGTGAAATCTGAAAGCAAGTTTGCTATGGACACAATGTAAAAGCAGTTATATATATATACATACTTGAGAGATGTTTACAGTGTAGATTTATTAAGCATGATACCCTTTCAGGTTTTTTTCCTAAACAAAGAGGAAGAAAAGTATAACATTTCTTAAGCTACTAAGAGTCTTCCTTTTCTAATTAACATTTTTGCTAGGTTTATTGAATGTTTAAAGTCTTCTTAATTTGTTTTATGTACATTCATGAAATTCTTTTTAGCTTAGTTTTATAATGTTCATAATATTTTAAAGGAGGGCAAGTAATGTCAAGAGAAAGTATAGTTTTTTAATTAATTAAAAAAAAGAGAAAGAAACAGGGCAAGAGGTACAGCTCAGTTGTGGAGTATGTGCTTAGCATGCTGGATTTAATGCCCAACATCATGAGGGGGAAGTAAGAAATTTCATTCCAAATGAAAATTTGAAACTATAATTTCAAAACAGTTGTACTTCTCAAATATGCCAGTAGTGGAAGCAGACAATACAGTAACATATAAAATAGAACATGTATAGACTACAAGTAAAAATTATTTGTCTAAAGGAAAAAAAAACCACGTTTATTAAAAAGGGTTTATTATGGGACTGAATGAAACTGTGAAAGGTCAATCTAATTAGAAGTTAATAAAAAATTTTTAATTTCCATTTTTTTAACTTAAAAAAAAATTCCCTAATTACAACACCAAAAAGAAACTGTTATTCATACCAAGTAAAACATCAAGTCTGTTGCTGCCTGTTTTCAATAGAACACTGACCCTTGGAGGGCTGTCAGAAGTGGCTACAATAAAATATAAATTCAGGCCTTTTCACTTCACAATTATTGTTTCCAACCACCAGGGAAAGAAATTTACAATCCGAGTTACTGTGTATAGACTACAACACCCACATCACTTTCTTCTATTTAATCTGTAATGGGCTTTAAAAAGTTAACCCAGTAATTACACAAATACTTATGCCAAAAAGTTCATTTAAAAAATATATAAAATATTCAAAGAGCCAGATTACAGAAATGCTTTACGCATAATTCTTTTTATTTTCATGCAAAATAAAGGCACACTTAATAACACCCTTTCAATTTTGACTTACAGGATTTAAATTCAACCCCTTATAACAATCACTTAATATCTAATGTTACATTCATGTTCAGAATGCACAAAGTGCAGCAACAAATGCAGCAAACCTCAAAACAAGGTGCTACAAAGCTGCTTCTACATCAAAAGACAGACAAAATGTCTGATAGAGTAATTTAACTGAACATACTTTTACAAACATATAGCTAACCTATAGAAAGACAGACAGATTTAGGAAAGCAGCTACATCTGCAGAGGAAGGAAACAGCATGTTACAGACAGTCAATTATACATAGAACATTTGACAAACACCACAGAAAACAAACTTTGGCATCATTTTACCATGGTACAAAACCTTGCATAAAATCTTTTGGCAAGTGAAGAACATAAATACTGTTCTAGGGTCTAAGCAGATTGTTAATTCTAAAATAAAGAATTTGAAAATATAGCATTATCTAATACAATTACATGAATTAAAAAAAATAAGAAACTTGGAATTACATTTCCATTTTAGTGATATGGATGCCCCTGATTCACATTCTAATGTGGGGCTTTTAAAAGAAAAGGGTGAATTAGACAAATGAATAAATAAATATATATTTCAAATCTTATAAACTGCTCCCATATCTTTTCATGAAAAGCTGAGGACTGACCATTATTTTTAACTGAAAGAACTATCCAGTCTATCAATATTCTGCCATAGTCAGGTATTAATTAGACACTACCTATCATATAGTAACCTGCCTGTGTCAGGTGCTGAGACAGGAACTAAAAAGCAGAAGGAATTCCCTGCATGCATTATGTGAATTGTTAGCAAAAGAGTGAGGTGTGCCCCAGTCCATCTGAGGCACAGCAAGTTGCATAACATCATTACCACTTTGCAGGGTCTGCCGTCCTCCAGCCAACACTCCACTAGGCAACATCCCTGTGGGAGTCAGGCCCTTGAGTGTCAGCACGCTTTCACTCTCCTCCCTACAGCAGAGAAATAAAATAAACATTAAAGATTTCTAATAAGTACTTGGTTTAAAAGAAGGGATACAGGCCATATATACTTTACAATACTCATTGTTATTACCATATTTCCCTCAATTCTAAGACATATTTTTCCATATTCTAAATGTCAGATATAAGAGTATACCTTACAACTAAGAGTTTTTCCTCAAAAGCTTTATTAAATATGTGGTAAGATTATCAGTGGACATCATACAATTCAGAAAATATTTCATATGCTCTAAAGTTCAAGTGTCTAATATAATTAATTTTGCAAATTAATTAATTAATTTGTGATGCAGTGATTTGAAGCCTCCCACATACTAGGCAAGCACTGAGCGATATTCCCTGTCCTTTCATTTTGAGACAGGGTCATGCTAAATTGCCCAGGCTGGCCTCAACTTGGGATCTTCCTTCCTTAGCCTCTTAAGTGGCTGGATTACAGAAATGCACCACCACACTCAGTTTGCAAACAAAATTTTAAGGATTGGCTTATACATTTGCATGATTAAACTTGGTCTTCTTAAATTAACTCCAGAAAACTTAATATGAGGCCCCAGCAAAAGAGACATTCTATATGAATAAGTAAAATCATTAGAAATACTCTAAAGAAAGAGTATTTCCCCTCCTTCTTATTCTGATCTAATTTTCTTTTTTTTTTTTTTTTTGGCAGGGGAGGGAGTACTGAGGATTGAACTTAGGTGTACTTAACCACTGAGCCACATCCCTAGCCCATTTTTGTATTTTATTTAGAGACAGGGTCCCATTGAGCTGCTTGGCGCCTTGCTAAGTGGCTGAGGCTGAATTTGAACTCATGACTCTCCTGCCTCAGCCTCCCAAGCTGCTGGGATTACAAAGGTGTACCACTGCACCTGGCTGTGATCTAATTTTCAAGGTGTAAATTTAGTGCTTTCATCACAGAACAAGAGATACCCAAATTGGCAATGAAGAATCAAATCATAAAAGTCAAAAATCCTAGTATGGGGGCCAGGGTGTGGCTCAGTGACAAAATGCATGTTTAGCATGCAAATATCCTGGGTTCAATCTCTAGCACCATAAAACAAAATACAAACAACAACAACAACAACAAAAATCCAAAAGCAAACAAACAAAATACTCCTAGATTTAAAAGAACTTGAGCCGGAAGCGGTGATGCACGCCTGTAATCCCAGTGGCTTGGGAGGCTGAGACAGGAAGATCAAAGCTAGCCTCAGCAACAGCGAGGCATTAAGCAACTCATGAAACCCTGTCTCTAAACAAAATACAAAATAGGATTGGGGATGTGGCTCAGTGGTTGAGTGTCCCTGAGTTCAATCCCCAGTACCACCCCCTGCAAAAAAAAGAACTAAAAGAACTTGTGTTCCCTTCTTCAGCACATAAATGTACAACCTAACTTCTTTACCATGTTGCTTTTAGATGTCAACCACGATGATGCTCATAAATAAAGAACAATGAAATCAATTTCTACAAAATAAATAATCAGGAAAATATATCATTACCTGAGAACAGAGAAGACTCTTGCCATCTTTCCAATAGCTCGAATTTTGTTTCTTATGATTTCTTTCCGGGCTGCAGCTGAACCTACTTTCAATGGAATAAATAGAAAGAGAGACTCAAGTTTAGGGCATCCACACTTGCATTATTCTGTTAGCCTGTTCCACATTCATCTGAACCAATAATACCAAGTCCCCTGCCACCAGCTCACATGGAAGAGACTCATGCCAAAAAGTTTCCTGCTCCCTCAGTATTAGCTTTGGTAAACATGGGTCAAATGCTGAAGTCTGACACAGAACAGATGAAAAGTAACCCACAAACTTTAATTATCTCATACTACTCACTAATCAGTAAAACAGCAATGGGGGAAAAAATTAGGCCCAACTTGCAGCAGCTCAAACTAGAGGAGAAAACTACTAATAATCTTATATTGTCTTTAACTTTCATGAGAGCCTACAGGCATGCAGCCTAACAGACAAGATATCAGTCTTCTACAGTCTAACCCTAACTATCATAAAAGCTTTTAACATGCAGGCTGAAAATAAACCATCATACTAGGAAAGAATAAGCTTCCTTGCTCCAACTTGATCTAAAAATAATGATATAAAGGGACTACAATGCAGGCAATCTCAAATTAAAGACCATACCAGCATTTTAACAACAATGCATATCTCAACCTCATTGACTAGTTGTCCTTTAAGGTCATGCAAGTATATATGAGCTCTTAAAACTGTAGGTGAGTATGAATAATGAGAAAAGACTTTCTGAAAAACTGGCTTAAGGACCACTACTACCTCATATCTAAAGGGTTAGTTGTACTATCACTGATAACAGAATATACCAAAACAACTGGATCTTTGACTGAATGAAGACTCAAAGATTATATCTTCCTTCCCTTGGCCTCCAGAAAGAAAACCAATCTGTCCTGTTATCTCATATATAGCAATCAGAATCACTGTGGACCCAAGAGTGTGGTTCCTTAAAGTTGTGCTTCAACATGATGGAAACACACATATGGAAGCACCATGGTTGAGGAGAATGTTAAGGAAAGGCTAAAGATGCTACAGCAAAAGGGGCCTTAGATATACAGAGATCTGAACAATTATTAAGTCTTCTAAGCTAAAATATTTCATTTAAAATTCAAGCAACGTACAAATACATGTAATTAAAAACTAAGATGACCATTGGAACTGATCACAGGAAACAGAAAAAGAAATCCAATTTCAAAGATGAAAACAACAGATATATTTTAGAGAAAAAGGCTCCACGACTGTGTTCATGATGTTTGAAAGGATAATACTATGAGCACTGAAGCTACAGCTTTTTATAAGTGCAAAACTGTGTGCATACCACAGCACTAGATACATATTTTTTCAAACACCAAAAACAAATTACTAAAAATGTAAGAATCATAGAATATTAGAATCTGAAGAGACATTAGGGACACTGTCTCATTTTATAAACAAAGACATTAAGTTTATTAAGTGACTTGTCCAAGGATACAAGGTATGTCTAATTTTCTTCTAATGAATTAATATAAACATTATGATTTAAAATTGACATAAGTTTTCAAATAGCTAGACTGGGGGTGATCAGTAGGGGACTGGGAAGGATGGCTATAACAAGGTACATTAGTATCTTTAGGTTTAATTTGTATGTCTACAAAACCAAATTATATATAAACTATACTGATTCCAAATGAAAAAAAAATTTCACAAGAATATAAAACACTGTAAAAATCAGGATTTTAAATCAGTCTACAAACACATCATGCATCATATTACATATTAAAGTAAATGTCCACAGTAAAATTACTTTGGGGAATAAGACAGACAATCAAACACCCCTAATCATGCAGGGAAAAGTATAAAACATTACAAATAAGCAAAAGAATGAAATTTTAAAACAAGAGGAATGAAAAGAGGGAAAAATATTTCCATGCACAGAAAGACAGATATCTTGGAATATGACTTCTAAAAACATCAATACTAATTCTGATAAAACTTAAACTAAATTTGCACAAGGTCCAAAAGGACTCTGCATAAACATTCCTGAATGAATGTGCTAACTTACATGGACATGAGGATAACCTATGAAGTCATATTTCAAAACAACATTACTCTGTCTGGTCTGTACCTTTTTTATTGCCATATATGAGCCGTTCTTCAGATGGAGAGTCCAGAAAAAAGGAAGTGAATGATGGAGAAAAGGTGGTTGAGACAAATAAAAAGATAGAGATTTAACTTGGCAGTGGTACTGAAGAATGAATGTAGAAAGAAAGAGAGAATAATGAAGGCCCTCATATTTGAAAATATGAAAAATGTAGTATTGTAGAATCTGAAGAATAAAAGAGGGATGCCACTGAGTAAAGCTCTAAAGTAGAGATTTCTTAAAAGATATGTGTTCAGAAGAAATTATGGACAGAATGGTTATAATATTTGATGAAAGTAGACATAATTAAGGACAGAAAAAAACACGTGAAAACACATAAGACTGATAAAAGACTGTGCTAACAACAATCGCACATTTATACTCATACCCCTAAAGAAATGTGTCATCCATGGAAGTATGTTAAGTGAAAGGTAATGACACAAATCAGATACAAACTTGTATGGTTCTTCAATGACAACATCATCTGCAAAATCTGTAGTATATACAGGTAACTTTATAAACTACCTCAGTGAAAAACCTTACCTATTCTCAATAAATAAAGCAAAAGCTCAGCCTCCTACACTATATAAGAATACATGTTTTCTTGAATCTAAATTGCAGAACTTTTGCATATAATCAGAAGCAACATGCACTTAATGTTCTCAATCCAGTCTGGGAGTTTGGGGGGCATCTTTTTGCAAAAATAGCAACAGACTGTTTCAAAGCAAGTAATAGCTCTAAGAGTAGGCAGTACTGGTTGTTTCATTTGAATTTAAGGTATCTTTCATTCTAATGCTAAGACACATGATTGCATTACAGGAAATGCAAAGTTTAGTAACACTATAACACATATAGATTATGTATTTTCTTTACCAAACTGAAGACAAAAAGTTAAATATCTGAAATAAATAGTAGGCATTCTAATTATCAGTCTTAAAAAATTTTATGACTAAATAATACCTATAAAAGGGAAGCTATATGCATTTCTAGATGCAATGTTCGTATAAATTTGTCTTAAAAACAACCCCACACATACATTAAACAATTCAGAGTACCAAAGATACATCTTTTAAGAATAAAGATTCTTATTCCTTTACCTAATCTCAGACTTGAACATACAAAAAATGCTCTTTCCTTCCTGCCACTATGTAATCACTAATTCTGCTACCTCCTTTTCCCCAAAGAAAAGCTAAATCCTCATTCTGCCTCCACCGCAAACCCCATTCCATCAAATTTTCTTTCTTAAGTCAGATTTCTTCCCAGACCATCCAAGGATGGTTCCATTGCTACAAAGGAAAAGAGGAAGGTGAAGAGAAGCCCTGCCATGATGGTAAAAGAAAAGGAGAAAAGAGGAATGGGATAAGGGGGATGAAATAAGGAAATATGAGTGAGGAGAAATATACCTAGTTCTGGTAGCTCTGTTCTTTATCCCTTTCAAAACCTTAGTATCTACCCTAATATCCTCTCCCATTTTCCTTCCATGTTCTTCATCTCCCAAATCACTTCCATTCCTCCATGCAAACACCTACATGTATATTTTTCTTAAGAGTTCCTGCTCCTAATACTTTATAGGGCAAAGGTGAAAAAATGAGGAATAAATGCAACTGTCATGTTGGCTGTGAAGGAACATCTATTTCTAGTATTCAAAGCTGGAACTCAATGTATTTTCCCATAGAAACATTGTCATAAATGGTGCTGAAAAGATTTTAAATTACTTAAGAGTGGGAAATAATTTTCATCTTCTCTATTCTCATTTATGGATGAGAAGACCCCAAAAAATTAAGTGACTTTTCCAAGATTATGCTGCTAGTAAATAGTAGTGACAAGATACCTAAATCATTATCTTTTTCATTAAGTCATAATGTTTCTCTAATAATCAAATTCAATTTCCTTGGAATCTAATGATGTAAAAAGTGAAAAATTAGCATAATATATCACACTGATAGAAAAACATTAATATGCACAAAATCTTCTAACTAGAGGGTAATACATTTTGTATGTTCATTTATGTGATTTTTAAAAATATTTTTTTAGTTGTAGATGGACATAATATCTTTATTTTATTTGTTTATTTTTATGCGGTGCTGGGGATCAAACCCAATGCCTCATACATGCTAGGTAAGCGCTCTACCACTGACCCACCCCAACCCATTTACCTTTTTTTTTTTTAAAGAATATGATATATTTATTTCTTGGTTGAATTTCAAAAAAATGATTTAGTGTCTATTTTCATATAAATCATAGGTACCTAAAATCAAGTAACAAAAAAACTTTTTGCTTTTTCAGGGAGGGGAGTATAGGGGATTGAAGCCAGGGACACTTTACCACTTTCCCCAACCCTTTCTATTTTTTGTTTTGAGATAGGATCTAAGTTGCCAAGGCTAGTCTGAAACTTGCAATTCTCCTGCCTCAGTTTCCCAAGTAGCTGGGAAGGTGTGCTACTACACCCAGTATTGCTTTTTTTTTTTTTGGTACTCTACCAACTGAGCTATATCCCCAGCCTAGCCTTTGCTTTTTATTATAGAAAAAAGAATAAAGCATTACCTACTACTATTTCTATTCAACATACTATTGACATTGCTAAGAATTTTTAAAGATAAAAGGAAAGGAGGGCTGGGTTGTAGCTCAGTGGTAGAGCACTTGCCTAATACATATGAGGCCCTGGATTCAATCCTCAGCACCACATAAAAAATAAATGAATAAAATAAAGCTATGAAAAATAAATAAAGGTATTATGTACATCTACATCTAATTTTTTTTTAAAAAAAAGGAAAGGAAAGGTTAAAAATAAGAAAGTAATAATATCAGCTTTATGTAAATGATATATTTTAAAAGTTATGGAAAATAATTAAAAATTGCTGTATAAAATAATTCTATTGACCTAAATTGTTAAATGTAAGTCCACAAATATATAATGTATTACTTTATATAGCTAGAAAATATGCTGAGAAATGCCAGTTATAATAATAATAGAAATACAAAATACTAAAGTATTAATTTAACTTGATGATAATCATTTTTCTAAACAAAACTACATATTATCTTAAATGAAATAATTATATATTTGATAGAGTAATTATAGTAAATAAAGTTATTTTATAGATATCTTTAGTTTGGAAGATACAGGTATAGAGTTATTTAATACCAACTGAAATACTCACTTGGTATTTCACAGCATTTGACAAATTACTAAAAAACTTTACCTAACAAATTCAGTAGGCAATGTGCCAAGAATTATTTCAATGACTCTCAATTATTCATTATCTCAATGCCTATATTTTGAAGTAGGTATTATCCTCACTTTGAAGAGAAGGGAAACAGAGGTTAAGTGACTTGCCTGAAGCCACACACGCATTGTAAGGACCTATAGTATGAGCCTGGAACTTACAACAGTGATATCAGAACAGGAAAAAGAAATATCTACTTAAAATCATTTAAAATTTTTAATAAAAAGCATTTGACAAAATACGTTAAGCTAAAAAACTTCTACACAAACATCAAAAGAAAATAAAAAGCATAAAATATTACTACTAAGCTTATTATCCAAACCAAAAAATAACTGATATAAATATATAAGAGTAAAAGCATATCTTTCTGCCTGCCACCAAGAGATAGCAGTAACATTTCTATACAGTCACTCAGCAATTTCAACAAATGGGTTTACAAGTGTGTAAGAATCACTCTTGTGGATGGGAATATAGCATTGTGGTAGAGTATCTGCTTAGCATGCCAGAGGCCCTAAGTTCAATCTCTAGCACAACAACAAAAAAAAGCAAACAAACAAATAAAACACTTGTTGTGGTTAGAAAAAAAATTGCATAGTTTTTACTCAGATTTTGTTCAATAAGTGATCAATTAAGGTGAATAGTTTACACAGCTAGAAAAATAGCACCATTAAAAATCAAAGAAATGTAAATTTATCCAACTCTAATTTCCTACTAGACAGCCATCAAGCAAAATAAGAAAAAATGACCAAAATTCGAAGAGGTGGGACCTATGGAGACATAGGTGCAGGGATTCACTGCTAGAAGTAATTCATATTGTTCACAATTCTTCTGTAAAGCAATGTGGTTGTTAACACATAAAATAGTGAGGCTAATATTCATATTCTTTAAGTCTATAATTTCCATCATGAAATTTTTCCAAGTAGCAAAATAAAAGCTATTGTACAAATACATTGTTGCACTACAATTCATAATAAAGATAATTTAGGACAGCACAATTGCCAAATATGAGATTAATGAAGAAAATTATGCCATATTAATAAACAGAAATATATAGGCATTGCTGGGAGTGATGGCATGCACCTGTAGTCCCAGCTATTAGGGAGGCTAAGGCAGGATAGGTTGAGCCCAGGAGTTTGAAGCCAGCTTAGGCAACATATCAAGTCCCAAAAAAGGTAAAGGCAAAGGCAAAGGGAAAAGCAAAGGGGAAGGGAAAGAGAAGAAAAGAAAGAAGGAAGGAAAGAAGAGAAGGAGGTAAGAAGAAAGGGAGATGCAGCTCTTAAATCTTACCAATATGTAGACCATATTTAACACATGAAAATATTTAAATACTGACAACTATAAAAAACAGTAAAAACAAACACATTATAATTTATTTACCTATTTATTTACTCAGTTAAAGTCTTAAATAAAAATTTCAAAATGTCAAAACTAAAGCAACTATAATGCACCAATAAAACAATACAGGAAAAAGGAATTTTTTTCCCTATGGTATTCACTTATATTATAAATATGCATTGGGTACATAGACTTATTGGCTTATATAGAATTAGCAACCATATATAACCTTGTTTCTATGGAAAAAAATCATTTCATAATTTCTAGTAAACTAACAAATGGTCCTTTAGAACATAACCACACTAAATTGAGAATAGCTTAATCTGGTGTCTGCAAAGAAGAAGTGAAAGCAATACTGGGAGTTCATGCATGTTTCTAATTTACTAAGAATACTACTACACTAAATCCTGACTTCAAAAAGCAGTGTTCATATTCATGAAGAACCACATCCCACTAATATTTTTCAATTTTCCTTTTCTTCTGTTCTATCTTTCAAATTTTCCCTTTTCTAAAATTCACCTTTTTCTTCATATCACTATTTAAAAATACTTATAATTATTTAAAAATATTAAACATTATCTGAAAGTGACTTGTCACTTATCAAACAGGATAGCCATCTGAAAACATTTTTCTTTTGCAATAAAGTATATATTGAGGCTGAACAGTTAAGAGATACCATTTCAAATAAAAAATAGTAAGATAAGTAATCATACCATCAAACTGGTCTTCACCTTCAGTCATTAATTCATCATCAGAGCAAATACTCAGAACATTTACCAACATTTCTGTCACTATTCAAAAAAGAAAAAAAGTTACATGTTAGTTGCCCATAACAACTGTCTACAAATGCACAGCAAGGATTCATACAAAAGGCCAAATAATGTTTAACTCAAGAAGACACATTCTTTTTTTTTTTTTTAAATATTTTTTTGAGTACATAGTTCTGAAGATTTTTTTTTTAAAGAGAGAGTGAGAGAGGAGGGAGAGAGAGAGAGAGAGAGAATTTTTAATATTTATTTTTTAGTTCTCGGCAGACACAACATCTCTGTTGGTATGTGGTGCTGAGAATCGAACCCGGGCCGCACACATGCCAGGTGAGCGCGCTACCACTTGAGCCACATCCCCAGCCCAAGAAGATACATTCTGATAGCAGGAATAATGAAATTAAGTTTGTAAAGGCTTTCAAAATGAAAGCAGGAATAAGAAGTCTGAGAGAAAGCAATTCTTTTATGGAATAAATTTTCAAGTCCCTCAGGAAAAAAAAAAAATCAAACCCCAAAGAGATGAGAACACAGAAATAACAGATGAATGTACACATTTCAAGTCTTCATTCGTGGATATGGCATTAAAGAGTAAGAAAATAATCACAGCACAGATCTCCTGTTTCAAAAATGTCCCAGGATTCAATCTTTCAAAAACCAGCCACAGGGGCTGGGGTTGTGGCTCAGTGGTAGAGCACTAGCCTAGCACATGTGAGGTGTTGGGTTCGATCCTCAGCACCATATTAAAAATAAATAAATAAATAAAGTATTGTGTCCAACTATATATATAAGAATGAACAGCCACAGCAAATTTATTTCTAAGATTACTAATGACCATGTGACAATCTGAATCCATGGCTCTTTCATAGGCTTATTCCTCTCCTTGATTATATTAAATTTCCCTTCTCTCTTTTTTTGGTTACCAGGAATCTACTCTTCTGGTTTTCCTACTTGTGAGACCATGTTTTCAAACAAAATTTGTATGTCTTCAAGATCCTCTCTGCAGTCTTATTCTTTTTATAAGTCCCATTTCTTAACAATTCCATCCATTACTAAATTATAGTTTAAATATCATCTTCTTGCAGATGATTACAGAATCTCTCCCACCCCCACCACTACTGTGATACTGGGGATTAAACCCAGGAGTACTTTACCACTGAGCTATTACCCCTCTACCTTTTATTTTTTATTTTGAGATAGGGTACTGTTATTTTGCTGAGGCTGATCTCAAACTTGGGATCTCCTACCTCAGCCTCCCAAGTAGGTGGGATTAAAGGTATGCACCACCATGCCCAGCTAATTCCAAAATCTTTATTTCCAGTCTTGATCTCTTCTTCAGGTTCTGGATTTCCTTGATAGTTTATTGCCAAACTGTCTTAAACCATTTGTATATTGTTTGCTTTCCCTACTAAATTGAAAGTCCCATGAGTGCAGGACATTGTTTTGTTCTCCACTTAGGTTTGGTTTCCAGAGCCTAACACAATGTCTGGCACAAAATAGGCACCCAATAAATATCTAACAAATGAGTCCATAAAATAAGAAAGATATGGACTGGGGATATAGCTCAATTGATACACTGCTTGCCTCGCATGCACAGGGCCCTGGGTTCAATCCCCAGCAACACACACACACACACACAAAAAAAAAAAAAAAAAAGAAAAAAGAAAAAAAAAGAATTGTTTCAAGTTTCAATTAATAAATAAAAATACCTATTGACTATTAGCCAGTGGATATTCTGAAATGAATATACCCAGAATAAAATTCAGTATCACTGCTACAAACCTACTTTTCCTTCTATAAATGTATTAAAAGCACAACCAATGCTGGGTAAGTATGATAAGGCTCTGGGATTCAGATATGAAAGGCAGTCTTTAACCATAAAAAGCTTATCAACTACCGAGAGAGACCAACATATCAAACAAAAGTGAGTGATAAAAACTATTCTGTAAGTATTCAAAGATATCAAAGATCTTCTGGAAAAGGAAAGACTTCTGGTAAATGACAAATCCACTGAAAAAGAACAAAGTATCACGATACTTATAAAAATTAACTCAAAATGGAACAAAGACCCATACATAACAGCTAAAACTATAAAACTCTTAGTAACAAAATAAAACTCAGTAAAAAACAGAGGGGTTATCTCTATGAGCTTGGATTAGGCAATGGTTTCTTCAATATGACACCAAAAGCATAAACAACAAAACACAAAATAGATAATAGTACTTATCAAAATGTTGCTGGGCATGGTAGCACCAGCTTATAACTGCAGCTACTCAGGAGGTTAAAGCAGGAGGATCACTTGAGCTCAGGAGTTTAGGGCCAGCCTGGGCAATATAGTAAGATCCTGTCTCAAAAATAAAACAAAACAAGAAGTCTTGTGTTTCAAAGGACACTGTTAAGAAAACGAAAAGCCAACCCACAGAATGGGAGAAAATATTTGCAAACCATTTATCTAATAAGAGATTTGCTTCTAGAATACATAAAAAAAAAAGAGATCTACAGTTAAAAAAAAAAAAGAAGACACACCTAATTATAAATAAACAAAGGATTTGAAAATACATTAATGTAAAGATATATAAATGGCCAACAGCCCATGAAAAGATGTTCAATATCATTATTCACTGGGGAAATACAATTCAAAAGTACTTTATAGGGGCTGGAGTTGTGGCTCAGTGGTAAAGTGCTTGCCTAGTGGGTGTGAGGCACTGGGTTAGATCCTCACCACCACATAAAAATAAATAAAATAAAATAAAATAAAAGGACTGGGGTTGTGGCTCAGCGGTAGAGCGCTCACCTAGCACGTGAGGGGCCTTGGGTTCAATTCTCAGCACCACATAAAAATGAATGAATGAGGGCTGGGGTTGTGGCTCAGCAGTAGAGCACTTGCCTAGCTCATGCAGGGTCCTGGATTCAATTCTCAGCACCACATAAAAATAAATAAAGTAAAGGTATTGTGAAAAAAAATGAATGAATAAAATAAAGGTATTAAGTCCAACTACAGCTAAAATATAAATATTTTTAAAATAAAATAAAATAAAGGTATTGTGTCCATCTATAACTAAACATAAATAAAGTAAACCACTTTATATTTACTATGATAGCAACAATAAAAAGGACAAACAATAACAAGTATTGGCAATGACATGGACAAACTAGAATCATTACACACTGCAGGTAAGGCTGTAAAATGATACAGATGCTTTGGAAAACAGTTTGGCAGACCTTCAAAAGGTTAATCATATCAAAGAGTTACCATAAGCCACAGCAATTTCACTCCCAAGACGACACCCAAGAAAAATAAAAAATAAAGTCTACACAAAAATTTGGACATGAATGTTCTTCTCAGCATTATTCATAATAGTCAAAGTAGAAAGTAAGTCAAAAACTGATGATTTGATAAACAAAATGGGGTATATCCATATAATAGAATATTATTTAGTCATAAAAAGGAATGAAGAACTGGTTCATACTACAACATGGATAACCTAAAAATTTTATGGAAAGAAACCACACAAAAACCACATGTTGTATTTCCATTTATATGAGGTGTCTGGAACAGGCAAATCTATGGAGACAGTACATTAGTCGCTGCCTAATGGCAAGGAGGGGTTGTGGGGAAATAAATGCTAACAGGCATGGATAGAATTTCTTTAAGGGGATGATGAAGGGGGCTGGGGATGTGGCTCAAGCGGTAGCTCGCTCGCCTGGCATGTGTGCGGCCTGGGTTCGATCCTCAGCACCACATACATACAAACAAAGATGTTGTGTCCGCCAAAAACTAAATAAATTCTCTCTCTCTCTCTCTCTCTTTAAAAAAAAAAGGGGGGGGGATGATGAAAAAAATGTTCCAAACTTGACTGTGGTAATGATTGCAAAAAAAGTCTACAGAATATACTAAAAACCATTTAATTATACAATTTAAATAGATCCATCATATGATATATGATATATATTTCAATAAGACTGTTATGAAAAATAAAGAAAAAGGATGAAAGCATAAAACTTAAAAGACATAGCTGATTTTTAAAGAAACTATCCATTCTGTGTTATAGCTGGAACATAAGAATATGCAACAGAAAGGGAGGAAATAAGGCTGAAGAAACTTCAAGTCAAAGAATCTGTGTAACAAGTTAATGTACATTTTGAAAATTATATAGAAACATTTATGAATACTAAAATAGTATATTTTAAGTAAATAATATTTATCATCTAGAATCCTGATTGGGAAAGAATGGTCAGAAAGTCATAGCCAAGTAGTAGCTTGAGAAAAAGGTCAAATGAGAGAAATGTTATTTATTTTTTATTTTAAAATCAGATAGATCTGAATAATTCATAAAAGAGCTAGTCAAGAGATCTGAGGAAGTCAGGTGTGGTGGCACACATCTGTGATCCCAGCAACTCAGGAGGTTAAGGCACGAGGATCTGAAGTTCAAAGCCAGCCTAAACAACTTAGCGAGGCCCTAAGCAACTTAGTGAGACCCTGTCTCAAGATAAAAAATAAGAAGGGCTGGGGATATGACTCAGTGGTAAAACACACCTAATTTCAATTCCTGGCTACCCGCCCGTCCCCCCACCACTCCCCCCACAAAAAAGAGAGAGAGTCTGAAGAGCAGAGAATGTGAATGATAAATCAAATTTCCTGGGGCAGGAGGAGCTGAGAGGTAAGAGAATCTAAGGACAAGTTAGAAGGGCAAGCCTTTGGATAGAAGGGTTACCTTCTCAACAAGAATTCAAGAAAAGTATTCTAATAAAGTAGGAAACAATAAAGAGAGAAAGTGGCTGTTACTGACAAGTATGTTCATTGAGTGAAGAAATAGCTGGAAGAAGTATTTAAGAAGAGAAAGGATGAAAATTTAGGCTCTATCCTAAGGAAAATGGAAGAAGCATACTATAAACCTAAAGAATGTTTGGATACTACTGAGAGCTCAGGTAATGTTAGATATCAAGGGATGGGTTGGACAAAGAAGAGCACACCTGTAATCTCAGTGGCTTGGGAGGCTGAAGCAGGAGGATTATAAGTTCAAAGCCAG